TTTTTTTTTTTTTTTCTTTTATGCTTCCTTCATACTGTACAAATTGAATCCTTAAAAAAAAAATCCCCATCGCCTTCTCGTCATTACCCTCACTTTTTCCTCGTACCTGACAGCACTTGCCTCTTCGGCTTCTCCCGCTTTACGCCCTCGATCAACATGTTTTTTTTTGTTGTTTTTTTTTGTTTTTGCTTTCGCTTTTGCTTTTGCTTTTGTTTTTGGGTTTGAAATTGTTACTGCCCATACCGCACACATTCTCGCAGGTAAAGTGCCGCAAACAGAAGCGAAGCACTCCGCAGAGAAGCACAAGCACGCAGGTAGAGACACATAAAGACATTCATACCTCTACGCATATGCATATGCACATATGTTTCCCATGCACATCGTGTGTACCACTCCCATTCACGCTGGACATGCTCTGAATTAAAGCGCACGCGGGGTGGCAAGGGACGTGCGTGCATTTGACCGCAAACAAGCAACATACGCGCATGCGTATCCAAAAGCTCAGAAGGTCCGTGCGTGCGTGCGGAGGGGGTGGGGGGTGGGTGGGAAGCAAATACGGCCAAACAAAATAAAACGATGAAAACAAAAATCAACCCGTAACAAAGGCGGACCGTCATCCCCGCCTCCATCTCCCTTCAGCCTCCTTATGCGGTGCTATTATTGTTTCTTTTTGTAATACCTCGCCCCCCAATTTTTCATTACTCGCCACGCCGCGCGTTGGCCACCTCGCCGAGAGCAAAGAGGTCTTTCTTCCGCCGCTGCTCCTCCTTGGCACGCTCCAAGGCATTTCGAATCATCTCCTTATTCTCATACACATCCGCCTCCTCCTCTGTCTGCCCCCTGCGACGCAGCAGCCGCATCAGCTCTACCTTCTGCTCCTCAATGGTGTTGCGCTGTTCCTCGCACTCGCAGACCTTGAGGTCGTAGTCTTCCTTCAGCCGGTCCACATCATTCTCAAGCTTCTTGATCTTCTTTCGCAGCTTCTTCGAATGATCGTGCTTCGCGATTTCGCTGCGCTGCTCCTGCGCGTACTCCTCAAGCCGGCGGTTCAGCACACTTTGGAAGTTTTCGTCGCGTTCCTGCAGCTTCTGCCGGTACTCCTCTGATATCCGCTCCGTGGCCGCGTTGGCCTCCCGCAGCTTTTGCTGAAATTCTTTAGACTTCTCGTTGCTCTTGACAATCAGCGCCTTTTGCTTGGCAAGCAAGTCACGCATCTGTTCGAGCTGATCCGTGCGCTCCTTTAGACGGACCGCCAGATCGGCTATCCTCTCCGTGCTGCCATGTGCATCTTTTAACTGCCGTTCGTACTCGCTCACCATCTCGTTCATTTTCCCCTCCAAATCCACGCAGCGGCGTTCACTTTCCGCCACCTCCACGCGCATGGTCTTCAGCTCCTCCTGCTGCGCCTCCTTGGAGCGCAACAGCTCTTCATTCTTGGCGCGCTCCTCATCCAACTCACTGCGGAGGTTGTCAAGTTTCTTCTGGGTTGCCTCGCTGATACCACCAGAAGCGTGATGAGCAACATTTTTGTTTAACACTGTCAACGCCGCCTTTGTATCCCCCTTGCTCTCATCTGGCTTCATGGCCGCCACCAACTCCTGCTCACGCTTTTCGTATTGCTTGCGCACCTCGTCAAACTGGGCCTTCAGCGTCTCTTCTGACACGCTGCGACGCTGCTCCTCCACCACGCGTGCCTGCGCCGCATCTGCCACTTGCACAGCCTCCTTATACTTCCGGCGCAACTCTGCGTTTTCGCTCACCAAATGACTTATTTCATCCTTGAGGTTCGACGGGGTGTTCGGCGAGGCCACAATGACATCAAGAACCTTATTGCGGTGCGTTTGCGCCGTGTCCACGGCGTTGTGCAGATTTGACAACATTCCTGCATACATCCCAGCCTCATAGGTGTCTACTGCCTCCATCTTTTTAATGACCTCCCGTGAAGCATCGGCGCTGCCACTGATGGATACAGGCAGTGCGGTCTGTGCCTCTCGCATGACATATTTCAGGTCATGCATTAAGCTGTGCATGTTAGACATGTGCGTGAGGGCAACATCGTAGGTTTTGTCATCCTCCGCGAGGATGGAGCGAAGTTGCTGCACAATAATTGAGTCATTCGCCCCAGGGTTGCTAAGAGCTTCCTTCGCCTTATGCAACTGCGTCGAATAGGCCTTTACAGTCTTCTCATGACTACTCTGCATATTCTGAAGCCTCTCCTCTACTTGCGCCAAAACACCGTTCTCCTGCAACTGCTGCCACGAATTTTCAAGCGCAACCCGCAGCTCTTCCACCTCTTTGCTATCAACCACGTTGCCACTAGGCGCTTGTGAGGCCTTTATTTGTTCCTCATGCAGTTCACTTAACTCCTTATTAGCCTCGCGCAACTTTGACTTCGCTGAGTCCATTTCCGACTCTGCCTGATGCAGTTTCTCCTCCAACTCCCTTGTCACAGCCTTGTGCTCCTTCCGCATCTGCTTCGCCTCCGCTTCAAGTTTATGCACGGCACTGTGAAGGCGCGCCAATTCCAGGCTATGCTTGCCGTGGGCACGGTCCTGTAGCACCACCTCCAACTCGTTTAGCGTTGTAATGGATTTGTTTTTATCATCCTCATCACTACGAAGGTACTGAGAGCAGAGGCGCAGAGCCTCCTCCCGCTGCATGCGCTCGTCAGTCAAGCTGGACTCCATGAGCTGCAGATCATTCTGCAGTTGACAAATAAGATCCTCCAGCTCAACAACTCTGCTGGTGATGGTCTGCCGCTCCATATTAAATTTCATCTTGGCGTTCTCAAAGTCAATGGCATCCGCCTCACGCGCCCGCACGGCACCGTCAAGGCTCACTTCCAGCTCCTCCACCTTCTCCCTCAGCTCCCTTACTTCCTGTTCCAGGGCGCAAGTGCCTTCTGTGCCATACAGTTTCAACTTATCCCGCAGTTCATGCACAAGCTCTGTTAACTCAGCAATCTTCTGATCCTTTGTATCCATGTTAATAACAGGTTTGTTCTTAATTTGTTTGGCGCGATCCGCAAAGCGTAGAGTACTCACTGTCTCAGAAAAGTTGTGCCCACTGGGACCAATGTTTGCAAACATGATCGTCTTACTGGAGCCACCGAGGGAGTCTTTTAGAAGCATGGTGAGGGGGCTACTACGAAACGGCACATGCCCCCTACCTTTAACAATTGTGTCAATCACTGTTCCCAGCGCGCTAAGCGAGAGATTGATATTGCACCCCTCCTTTAAGGTATCGCCAATGGCGCCAGTTTTGCTTTGCCGCTCCGACCCTGCCAGGTCAACAAGATTCAGCTTACTCGTCACCGACCGGGTGTCCCCATCCTCGCTGACTTCCGTGCATTCAATAATGAGCGAAAACACAGAGTGAGAGCGTGAGCTGTCGGCGTTGAGGTCTGTTGAAGCCACGCGCCGTCGCTCAGTTCCATCCTCCATGTGTCGAAAAATGTCATCGATGGACTTCACCTGCGGGATGTGGGCGCCCTGCACATAAAAGGTTTTGTCCTTGCTTTCCTTGAGCGCAAGCGTGACCTGCTGGCGCGCCAGCAGGTCACGCACCTTGCCATTGTAGATCTCAATGAAGGAGACGTACATAGAAAACTGGCTGTTCGGCGACGCCTCCTTCGTGGCGGAGATACGCTGAAAGATGTAAGAAAAGCAGCGTGGCGTTATCCCCTGCAACTCGGGGTCGTCAATTGTCCCCATCATGGTGTGCGTCTTGCCAGACCCTGACTGCCCGTAGGCGAAGACAGTGGCGTTGTAGCCCTCCAGCACGGAGTCCACCAGGGGCATGATGAACTGAGTAAAAATGTCGCGCTGGCTGAAGGTGTTGTTGATGACGGCGTCGAAAGTCCACCGGTCCGGCTCGCCTACGATGCTCCTCACAGTGACGCTGTGCTCGGTGAGGTCCACATCCACGCACGACTTGTACCCCTGCACCTTCTCCTTTTCACTTAATGGGCGACAGCGGATGAGAACTTTAATGTTCTCCGCGGCACTGCTCATTTTCCTCCCCATCCTTCCTGAGTGTATAACGTACGGACCTCGTACGTGAACAGGAGGAGTAATACAAACAAATATATATTTATATATGAGTAGATGAGTGTAAACTCGTGTGGAGACGTGTGTGACGCCGTTAAACCTCGTTTTCTGCCCCTTGGTGCGTGTATGGTACGCGAGATCCCTGACACCACCGACACCCGAGTCCCCTCCCAACCAGGAGAAGCAACAGACGCAAAACCAATTAAACCAAAGAAAAAAAAAGACAAGATAGAGGGTAAAGAAAAATGTAGAGAAAGAGAGCAAGTGAGGCAAGTCCCATCCACGTAAAGCGGCGAGCGTGCAACTGCATACACTCCTGCAATCAGACACATCACAGGAGTAAGATTTTTTCTTTTTTCCCCTTTTTTCCTTTTGTTTCTCTTTACGTTTGCTTGTTAAAGGGACATTACAAACGCCTTACGTGCAGCAACAGCCGCGGCGGTGCCGAGAGTGGGCGGCTTAGCGACCAGAAACCACTTCGCAGCTGCTTCTCAGTCAATTTTTCTCTCACGCAGAGAGATAGAAATATATATAGAGAAAGCGAGAAATACACCAGCTTGTCACCACGCGCAGACTCACCGCCGCTTAAACTCCTGCTCCAACTGCTGTATGGCTGCGATAATGTCAGCCGCGACCATCGGCTCCACCGAAATCACGTGCTTTCCATGCAGTTTGTATGCGTCCAGCTGAAGAACCGCCCGCACCGCTTGTTCCACCGTATGATATGTCACCTCAAAGGTGCGCTCCTGCACCTCGGCGGCAGTTGCGTGGGTGGCCGTAGCACTAGTCACGGGACCATCAGCCGTCGCCGCTTCTCTCACCGCTTTCCCATCGCCCTCCTCCTCCTGCCGCTGCGAGCGGTAGCGGGAGAAGTGTGGTGATGCCTTAGTCGCCTCCGGTGCAGCTGGCATTCGCCGCACCACGCACGACACAACAACTCCTACGTGAGAAAACAAGTCACGAATATCTGAAGCCCCAACGTTTACAGGAACGCCGCGGACGAGCACCTTTTGGCTGCTGATGCGCGTGGCCCCGGTGGCGTCCTTAAAGGGAAACGCCCCAGTGCTCTTCAGCAGCGCTGCGAGAGCCTCGGTGGAGCGCTCGGTCGCGCCCATACCACTGCCACTTCCACCCCCGACTCCTGCGGCTTCCGTAACGCAAGATACGGCCTTCCCTACCAGCGCTTCCTGTTCTTGGTGATTGTTCGTCAGTTTCTGAGCGTGCAATTGAACCTTATCCAAAGCCAGTTTCCCCAATGTAAGCTGGTCGATGCGGGCCTGCAGCGCCTCCAGTCGGGCACTGACTGCAGAAACCTGCGCCTCCACCCCTGCAACCGCGTAGCCTGCCGCACTCACAGAAGACGAGGCAGTAGAAGACAAGGATGGAAGGGTTGCTGTTGTGTGGAGCTCCGTGTTGACGGCAGAGTAGGTCGATGTTGTTTGCATGGCCTGCGGCAGCGTTTGTTCTTCTCCACGACTCCCGCCTGTAGAAGGGGACGCATCGCCACCGGCAGGCTTCCCATCCTTCGGGGAGGCGACATGCTTCAGCACAACTTTCTCCATCTGTTGCACCAGCGCCTCCACGTTACGGTGCTGCAAGACCACATCGGAGGCCAGCCGCGTTGTCTCGGCAATTTTTTGCTGCATCCGCGCGGCCTCTTCCTCCATCGCCACCACGCGCCGCTCCAGCACCGCCTGCTGCCGCCGCAGCATAGAAAATGCTGTTGCCTGCTGCTGAATAACACCATCGGCGTGAGTGAGCTTCTCACTGAGCTTTGCCAAGTGATCCTGTAGCCGAAGCGTCAAATCCACATCCCCCCCTCCGGCGGATGACAGGTGCAGGTGCTGCTGTTCCCCTTGCATGACTGACGAATCGTTGGGAAAGGCGGCAGAGCAGGGTGGCGACGGCAGGCCGCGGATAAGCAGGGTACGCCGCATTGCCACTCGCATCGTCGGTGCCGCAAAAAACAAGCAACTATGGGTTCTATGAAAAAGGAAGGAATACATCACCACCTACAACTAGATGCATAGCGTTGGGGAGAAACACAATGAAAACAACAGCACTTGCACAACTCAGTAGATAATTGACAAATGTAAGTTTCTCACATCACACACATACCATCCCCGATTTTTAGTTACACCCACCCAACACGACGTGTGTACCTCTGTGTGTTTGTGTGTAGAAGGTTGGTCAGTGTTTGTTCTTGTTGTTTACTTCCAGTTTACCCAACGCCAGGGGGCTCTGCCTTCCTTCTTCGCCCTCTGGCCGCAGTCTGCGTTACTTACTTTCCCTCTTCTCCTCTTCTCACACTTGTGCATACGTGCCTTGATTGGGTTTCGCCGGCTATCAAGGTCCGTCCCGCTGCTCGCCAAGGTGAGACTTTTCAATGCGGCGGAGTTTGCCATTGAAAAAGCGATGACGACCGGCGCGTCCAAGCCGCACCCCACCGCAGCGACGCAGCAGCTCATCATCCTTCAGCCGTGTAATATCCACGTCGATGTCGTCGTCGTCGTCGCTGCTGCTGCTGCTGCTGCTCCCATCGCTCGCGGAGCCCCCACGGCCATCACTGCTCACACTAGCACTACTACTACCGTCTTGACTACCACTGCAGCCGCGTACGCTCTCCTGCCGCGTGCGCTTTTCCCGTGTCACATGATGGGAACGTTTTGCATTCGCCTCCTCCTCGACTGTCACCGCCCCCTTCAGCCTCTTCCTCCCTGTCCTTGTCATAGTGGAGTACACGGCGTCCAGCTCCACGGAGAAAGTGGAGGCCTGCGGCGCCTGTGTGGCATCCGCGGCGTGTCCCAGCCCCGTCGCGGTGTATGGGTCGCGGCGGACCACCTTCACATACGTGGCGACGCCCTGCGCGTTCTTGCCGAGCCCCATGCCCTCCTTCCCGCCGTGGCGCTCCAGCATCTTTTTCGCAATGGATGACATCCTTCCTCCTCTCCCTTTTCTCTCGCCCACACACGCCCGTTACCTCTGCAGGAGAGACAGAGCCAGCGGACAGCAGCCACAGACACACGACAAAAAAAAAAAAAAAACGGCAAACACAATGGAAAAAAAGAATAAAAAACACAAGGACGTAAAACATGTTCAGCCTTATCGTGACGCACCAAACCAATACACGGGGCACGGACATCCCGCACATGCAGCCAGAGCCACACACGCTCACACCCATTGTGCCACTAAATAGTCAACGCCCCAGTCATCTCTTGCAAAATACGCACAAAAATAAATAAATTACACAGCTTTATTTCTCATGATTTCCATAATGACCGCAACGCCTCCCAACCAGACACGAACCGCATGCCCGCAGCGGCATCCTTGCGCTTCCGTTATTCCCTCACAGGCTCAAACATCCACCTGGCTGCCCTCTAACGGCGTTCAGCCGTGCAGGAAGCCGCCGCCCGGATCGAGACGCGCCATGTGCCTCAGGATGGCGACGGACTCGAAGACGCAGCCCTCCTCTGTCTGCAGCGCGGGGTGGCGGCTGCACTGACTGAAGTTGCAGCAACACCTCCTCCATCCCGTTCTCGCGGCCAAACCATCACGGCTTGAGCGTCACGGGCATGTTGGCGAGGGCCGCCGCCACCAGAACACTCGTGCATGCACGCGTCCTCAAAGGTTCACACCGCTCCACAGCGTGAGCAACATGGCGTGTGTGTGTGTGTTAGCTCCTACACATGCAGAGGACATGCACGGACAAAAAAAACAAAGCAATAAGAAAAGGAAGGACTCCAAGATGCAATGAGACGGCAAATCAACACGAATGGCAGCTAGGCGCAGAAACAGAAATGCAATGGAAGGACACACACTCAGCGCGGGGAATAGGCGCAGTCGAACAAAAAAAACACAAAAAAACACAAAAAAACAGAGAAACACAAAACACACACCGTGAAGTGAAGCCGAAGCGTGGGCACGTCCACCGAGAAGTGGGGACGCGCAACAAGTGGGACGACCAGCACACACACATGCTCTCCTCCTTCCCTTTGAGCACAGTCCAGAAAGAGAGAAAGGTCACCCACCAAAAACAACATAAAAAACAATATAAAACAAAAACCAGTTCCATTCCTTCGCGGGAATGGTGGCAGTACAAAGCGGAAGTTGTAGTTGCTTTTCAAAAGGAGCGCCGAGGCGCAGTTAATGTGTGCATTGCATTATAACCGTGTTATACATCTTGAGTGCGTGACTCCAC